ATTGTGATGGGGCAACCACTAGATCTCACTGCGGGGGATCTCCCTTCGCTATTAAGAAATATGACAGTCAATTTTTCATTTCATGTCCCTTACATCATTGGTTCTACCTCCCTAACCCCCTCCTCTTCTTTAGATATAAGTCGAACTATATCCAGGTGCGATGATTTTTTTTCTTCTTTTTACAAGCTAGCTTTTTACAAGCACAAGAGATGTATTTATATTATTTTGATAAATCCGGAGTTTTTTTTTTTAATCGAAATTAATGTGAAAATCTAATTTTCGGAAAATGTCAACTTGCTCTGGGTGAAGGACGACATTCACATTTCTTCTTTTCTGATTGGCCGAGAGTCAATCATACTTCATTCGCATATTCAGCGAAAAGTATCAGCATTCTACATTGAATATTGAATGAAATCAGTTTAGTTTATTATATTTGTTGCAAATTTTTTTGCGGTAAATGTCAACATTCACCACATTGTTTTGGTAAATGTCCAAAATTCAGTCATTATTATTATTATTGAAGTGAAACTTCTAATGCGACTTCCAACAAGGTTGCGTTAAACGTTTAACGCTATCATGGCAACGAGCGGCCTGTGATCCTTGCAGGAGATCTTAATGTGAATTTCTCGTTACCTGAAGCTGAAACATTATTAACCTTTTTTAAAGACAAATTTGGATTGGAAATGATAAATGGTAGGAATGATCCAACAACCAAAGGGGGAACTACCATTGATGCAGTTTTTGCAAGAAATATTGAAAAAATAGAACTCAAACATTTCGTATCTTACTTTAGTTATCATAATCCATCTTAGTTATCTTATCATCATTAGTAAATGTTATAGATTTGGATATTTCTCCACTCGAAAATGATAATTAAAAGATGCGATCAATTGTGAATTGTAAGCAATGTTAATAAAGTTTGTCTTAAAGAAACAATATGATTTCACTAAAAATCAATTTCTACCCCTTCCTATTTTCATTTCCACATAACGAAGTTTCACTTCTTCCGCGCGGAGGAACTCCACGCACTATTGTTTTCTCAAATAAAATTTGGTATAAATTAATCAATTAGATACTTTTATTATTATTATTATTATCATTATTATTATTATTATTATTATTATTTTAATTATTATTATTATTATTATGTATATACAAGGTGCGTAGCGTTTTTAAAAAATGCTTAAAGGGGCTTTTTTTCATGTGTTTTTCATTAATGTTTTTCAACATTATTTTTCTTTGAAAAATAAGAGTACAAAATTCCACAAAAAGAAACACTGTGAAGTGGTCACTTTATGATTTGATGAAAAAAATCATTAAACCTATGTAATGACAAGTAAATATAACCAATTAATTCTTTTATTCTCATTATGTGACCGATTATATTCTTATATCGATTATATTATGGAGATGTGCCTGGTTCTGACTGGGCTGTTTGCATCATCACATCCATCCTCTAATCACGTGCCTGACATTCTAGATATTAGAGTTCATTTATATATATTCGAATAGTAATCAAGGTAAAAGATATGAAATGAAAAGTTTTAATTGTAATTAAAGATATGGAGCCATGGTGGCTCAGGGGATAGAGCATTCGCCACCCAATGAGGTGACCTAGGTCTAAATCCCAGCGGTTTCGAGTTGAGACAAATTCCGCTCCCGGCTTATACCGGTCACATTTCTGACTGACCAAACATTTCATCAATGGTAGACGGATCATGGGTTAGGATCCCCTTGCCATCGGACTAACCGTGGGAGGTTTCAGCGGTTTTCCTTTCGGTGTAATGCAAATGCTGTTAAGTTCTTTTAAAAACTCCTTATTTGCCCAATGCTTGATCCAGGAGCTCTCTTGTTTTCTGTGTTAGATTTAAAATTGCAAGGCTTATGAACATTGATAGTCATAAACTCAAAACTGGGTCTGATGTTTAGCACCGATTATGAAATAAAATATAATTAATGGCATGAAAATTGCTTTAAAAATTTACAATAACTCTCGCCCCGTTAAAATGCATCAAAAAGTTCTTTGATTAAAAATGTGAAGGTGCTTTTTTCCTTTTTTAAATTTCTAAACTTCTTGGAGATAAGCTCTTTAATTTGTAAACTGCGCTGATTTGGTCTTAATTCTTGAAACTTAATAGAAGAATCAGTGAGCACCATCCAAAAAGTGAGCACCGTCCATTAAGGAAAAGCACCATCCAACGCTGGTACTAACTAGTAAATTAGAAGTTATAGTTCTTTACAAAAAGTAACATCAATATTAGTGTTCTAAATTGGTGTCATTATAATAGACAGTTGTGAATATCGTTCAAAAGAATTAAGAAAGCGAATATATATGCTATGAAATGACGTTATTATCCTAGTTTGCGTAGGTTCAAAATAAGTACAGTTCGTTTTTGATAGATGGCAGCACTACAGCATTCTTTAGCTACCTCTTCTCTTACTTATTCACCCTTTCTGTCAAAAATATTTTTGCTCCCTGACTACTGTCTCATAATGCGACCTTCATAAAATATTTCAACGCCCTTTTAGAGATGAAAATGACTTATTAAAACGTAGCAGAAAGCCGCCCTTACACGTGTTATTATTCTATAGAGGTGGGCCTTTTTGTAAACCCTTGACCTTGCCTGCGATTTGGCTCTTAAATTTGCATTCGAACCCGGGAAAACGCCCGTGTTACGCTGCATAGAAATCAAAACTCAAGCGTATTTTTCAATTTAAAGAAATATTATACCATTTAGTTTACGAAAGGAACAGCTTTTTAATTTAATTTTAAAAGAGAATTGCAGTAATTTCTACAGTTGCTCTGTTATAATACTAATAGAATTTATTCATCGATGGTTCATAATTATAAATACATTATCTTGATAGCTGCATCGTTATCAGTTATTAAATATTTTCTATCGATAGTAAGTGGAAATTGTAACAAATTCAAGTCCTTTTCATTTCTTTAGAATCAAATACAGATGACATACAAACATAACAAAATAAACATGGCCTTACTCATCTTATCTGATTTTACTAAGAACATTCTTCAGTGGGGTAAAAATACTTCGAAATACCTTCCTGATGATTCTATATATTTTTAATGTTTTATTTTCCTAAATTCACTGATATGTCAACAATATTTATTTAACCCTAGCCATTTTGGATTTTAGGTTAAATTTTTAATTCACACTGTCTTGATATTTTTTTGCGTTTAACAAACTTTTGATTATTTAGTAATATTAAACCGCATAATACTTTTCAAAAAAGATTTATTAAGTTAGGAAAAATAGCTCTCCATAACTTTTAGAACTTTTATTCATTTTTCCTCCAAATTTTAAAATAATTCGTTTAGTGGTATTGAGTAAGTAATTTAAAACTACAAGCTTCTTAATTTTTAGATTTTTTAAAATCTAATTTTATTGCATTTTAAACTGATATGAAAACCGATTTGGATGATACTAAAAATTTCTTTTAACGTTAATTGCTTAAAAACACGGTTACTTATCAAAAATCTAAAAACAAGCAACCATATTTAATTACCTTCAAAATTGTATTGGCATAATTTTGTGACAAAAAATTAATAAAGAATTTAAACTACCACAAGCTTTTATATCTCAAATTGGGGTTGAGTAGCGGTTTTACATTTTACTTGTATGGGAAGATACTGTCAAATAGAGTAAACATTCAGTATCAGTTTACTTGTGAAAATCGAATAAAAAGGATTAAAAACGTATTTAGAACTTTCCCTCCTCCTTTCCACCACTTCGACAGTTTAATCCGGGTGAGAAAAACGTCTAAAAAACAAAGCAAAAAAACTCTGTCTTTTATCTGTAAGTAATCTTACTGCATCAGGACATGTAAGTAAATCCACTGCATCAGAACATCTTTCAAAGTATCAGAATGTCACCATTTTGCTAAAGTTCTGTTTGCGCAATGGGTTCAGTGTTTGCAGTAAACTGTAATTACGCATGAATGTTTGGAAGGTAGGTACTTAATTTACGTCGCACTAGAGCTGCACAATGGGCTATTGGCGACGGTCTGGGAAACATCCCTGAGGATGATCCGAAGACATGCCATCGCAATTGCCAATACTCTGCAGAATAGATGTCTTCCGTGCTTTTATAGCCGGGTGACCTGCGCGCGAACTCGAGCACCTTGAGGTAGATCAGTTTGACGAAGACCGATACCGCGCACCCTTGGTCCCTACGCAGGCTGATTAAAGTGGTCACCCCCCTACTGATTGACCGCAGTTAGTGTCACTTGACTTCGGTGTTCTACTGGAAACCGTGTCTTTATGATCAGTCCACTGCGTGACATGAATTTTTGGAACTAATAAAGAAGAAAATAAAATTGAAAAAGACCGATAGGATAAGAAAATAAATAATAATAATTCCGAATTACCAACAACAATCACCACATTGATCTAATACTGTTTAGTAAATAATATGCTGCGCATAGTGAATTTCATTGCTTAGTGAATAATATGCTGTGTGTAGTGAATTTTAAATGATAGTGATTAGTGAATGGTATGCTATGTTTAGTGAACATATAATGTGTGTAGTAAATAATATGCTAATAACTGAATTTGGTGAATAATATTTTATCACTGTTGGGAGTTTGGATGAATTTCATATTGAATTTTGTACATCTCTGTCCAAGGTCTTTTTTGTTAATAGGAAATCAACAAAAAATGTCACTAAAAAAAGCAACAGTTTTGTGATCAGTTTGTGTTGTGATCTAATTTTATAATATTTGAAAAGTTTGTCCAACCGTGCATTGAAGGAATGTCTAAAAATGCCAAAGATTGGAATAATTCAAAAAATTCGATAAATTTCATCGAAATGTAAAAATTTTGCTAAATCAGCTAAATTTTAAATTAATGAAAGAACTTCGAAAAATACAGTTATTTATCTTGAGTTTGTAGCTGCCTTGAAACATTAAACTTTATTTTCAGTTTAAATTCAATTTTGCTGTTCGATTTCTTAACAATAATTTTTCTTCTTCTTTCTTTTCAGTTAAATGTAGCTGTGGAGGAATGGGAAACGTACGAAACCAAAGTTGGTAAGAATCTTAATTTTTCTCCTCTTTAATACTGAATGCTAATGAAGATTATGTAAATTGCAGACACATTGTCATAAAAAAATTTTGTCTACCTCTTTTACAATTTCTGTACAGAAAGTAATATAAATAAATGCTCATATGCCGTATTAGCAATAATCCATTAATTTATATTTTATTTTATTTTATTTTATAACTGTCGTTGAACAGCCAACCCAATTTTTGGGTTTACGACTACTAATGTTCAACTACGTAGCCTTTTAATTTTGAACCCAATCCAGAAGACAAGGGAATTCCTTTATTAGGTAGTGGGAGAAATTTGTCTTCGTTGAGGACTTTTCGAAGGAACTAACCCGCATTTGCGTTACATGGAGAAGACCACGAGAACCTCCCTCGGTTAGCCTGACGGCAGGGGGACACTAACCCCTGATCCGTCTACCACTGAGGATATTTCACGTCGGTACTGTGATCGGTGCAAGCCGGAATCCGGATTCGTATCGACCAGCCATCGCTGGGATTCGAACGCGGTTCACCTCATTGGAAGGCGAACGCTCTAACCCCTGAGCCACTACGGCACGAAAATTACGCACCCATTGTACTACTGTAAAAATCACAGGATATCAGATTCTTTGTTCTGAAAATTTTACTGTAAAATGTACGACGCCCAAAGTACTTTTAAAGTTGATCTTAAATTTTTTTAGAGTGCACTGTAAAAATTTCAGAAAAATTTTCTTAAAAAAAATTCGATTATTTTTTTAATTTTATTGATTCGAACCCGGTTCATCTCATTTCAAGGAGAACGCTCTATCCCCTGAGCCATCGCGGCTCATACTACAGTACATTGGCAAATTTGTAATATGCTTTTGAGAAAAACATGTTTACCTTTTATGAACCAATAAAATAGAGCCACGGTGGCTCAGGGCTAATCGTGGATTTCCTCTCTATGGAACGCAAATGCGGGTTAGTTCCATCTAAAAATCAGCCATGAAGGCTAGTTTTTCCGAAAGTTTGATCCAGGAGTTCCCTTGTCTTCTGCCTTTGGGTTCAATATCACAGGGCTGCGGAGTTGAGTAGTCCTGATTCGTATATTCAGGATTCGGCTGTTCAACGGCGGTAATAAAATAAAGTTTAAAAAAAAATAGAAAAATACATGATTCATTATTCTAAACGTGTATCTATTTCTTTCAAAATACTCAGATTTTTTTAGAACAGTTTTGGAAGTGAATTTTACCTCATAAAAAAATTTAGTAAAAGTAAATTATTATGGTAGAAAATTTTTATTTTTTTAAAAATTAGGATATAATTCTTAATTTTTGGGAAATGTGTATTAAAATGTAAATTTTAATGCATATTTCCCAAAATAATATTTAATAAATGTATTAATATTGAATTACAAATTTCATTACAATTTCATTTAAATAAATATATTAAATAAGCATTAAAAGTATAAAAATATTAACTTGACATGGAAAATATTAGCATTTCCAAGATTTCCAATCTTTCTGCGTAAAACTGTTTTACTTTTTACTAATTTTGTTGTTAGACTAACATTATTAGAAAAATATAATAAAATACATAAATAAATATTTTAGAAAAATTTATTTCTTTGAACGTATAAATGATTTTTGAAAATAACAGTGTTAGGAAAATGCCTTTTTAAATATTTTTAAAATTTCAATAGACAGTTAAAAAAAATATTTAACGCTTTAAAAGAATGTCAAATAATAATTAGCCAAACAAATTAAATAACGCGGAAGTGAGCTTTTCAAAAGCAATTCACGAAATCTAAAAACTCGATTTACTGCTATTGAATAACTCCAGTTATTAGTTATTCATCTTGCGTATAAAACGGAAGAGCCATTGAAATTTTAAATAAATAACTATTGAGCAAAAATCGAATAATATGATCACGATATATTAAAAAACCTTCCTTCTTTGCTTATGATATGACTAAAACCGTATGTAACGAAAATGAAACTGGAAAAAAACGGAATAAATAAAAAAGAACGGAATAAATGAAAAGAACTCATCCACGAAGAGAACCGAAAGGATAGTTCAATTCAATGAAAAATCTTCCAAAATAATTTTTATTTATTTATTTCTCTTTTATTACCAGAAAGCAGTTCTCTATTCTTCCTTAATTTAATTGCGCTATTTAAATTCCATGTTAAGGAGTAAATGTAAATGCTTATTTCACGTGCGCTGAAAGCAGTGAATTCAAAGCAATAACTGCTTTCAATATAATTTACTACACATTTTCTATTTAATTCCTCATTTAATGCAACGGAAATTTCCTTCCTTTTCCGAAACATTAATAAGTTTTTTTTTTTATTTCTTTAATATTTCTTTTATTCTAACATGCATTACGATAGATCATCTTACAAGGACATAAGAGCATTTAAAGGGTATTATAAGACGTTTCAAAAAAATATCGCCAAATTAAACTAACTGTCTCTTGAGTATTTCAAAGGTCACAGATGAGGAATCACGCCCTGCGTTTTTAAAGCAACAGTTAAATAAGCATTGTTTTGGGAAAGTAAAATAATAAAAAAAACTGGCTAATTTACGCAAGTTATTTTCCGCACTTATTTCCGAGAATGTGGCTATTAAATATGGTTTTATTGGGTTTTTTTTCTTCTTTTTTTTTAATATTTTGCAATAGGGAAGATCTCTTCGCGGTTGTAGCATCATCTTATAGCTAATAGTTACCGTTAATAGACCGTTTTCACCAAAAATAACATTTTGTGCAGACAAAAAATTTTTTTTATCTAGATTTCGGGTTGTTAAATTAGTAGCATTCATTTGATTGATCATTTAATAAAAATAATAATTATTGTTATTATTTTCACTTTTGTGTTATTAATATTAATTCGTTTTATTTTCTATACAGCGTGTTCAATCCGGCGAAAGAGTACCCGATTCCAAAATTTAACAGCTATCAAATACCTGGGAATAATAAAAAAAAGATAGATAGTTTATTGATATTTTAATATTAGTAATTAATAGTTTACCTAAAAATTAATTGACAATGTCATTAATATAATTATTTTGTATTATTAATATTAATTCGTTTTATTTCTATACAGCGTGTTCAATCCGGCGAAAGAGTACCCGATTCCAAAATTTAACAATTATCAAATTCCTGGGAATAATAAAAAAAAAGATAGATAGTTTATTGATATTTTAATATTAGTAATTAATAGTTTACCTAACAATTAATTGACAATGTCATTAATGTAATTATTTTGTATTATTAATATTAATTCGTTTTATTTCTATACAGCGTGTTCAATCCGGCGAAAGAGTACCCGATTCCAAAATTTAACAATTATCAAGTACCTGGGAAAAATAAAAAAAAAGATAGATAGTTTATTGATATTTTAATATTAATAATTAATAATTTACCTAACAATTAATTGACAATGTCATTAATGTAATTATTTTGTATTATTAATATTAATTCCTTTTATTTCTACACAGCGTGTTCAATCCGGTGAAAGAGTACCCGATTCCAAAATTAAAAAAGATAGATAGTTTATTGATTTTTTAATATTAATAGTTAATAATTTACTTAGCAATTAATTAACAATGTAATTAATAATTAATTAGTAAAATTAATAATTAAATAACAATTTACGTTAATAATTAATAATTTAAGTTTTCGAACTTAGTTAAATAAGTTACTAACAAATGGAATTAAATACGTTACACGGGGCTCTAAACTTAAATAAAAGAAAACACAGTACGTCTGGCAAAAATTTTGCCAGACGTAGTATCATCTTGAGTTAATTTTTGTAGCCCTGCACAGCGCTATCAATTACAAATTTTGCTTCTGTTGCAGCTCTATACAACGTGCAGCAATTTTCATAACTAAATAGCCAATTTTGAAAATTATTTATAAAACCATCTTCACTATTACTACATGGTTTATTTTTATTTTTAATCTCCAGTTGTTTCGAAATTAATGGAACACTCTATATTTAAGAAATGGAAGCATGTAGCTGAATGAGCCAAGGTTAATAAAATGTGAAACTTTTTTCTATTTTTTATGCGCCTTTAGATTTTGTACCAACTATTGTAGCAAATTCATTTCAATACTCGTTGTACTCACTCAAAATCGTAGAGAACTCAAAAGTATAAGTCGCTAAGTTGATAGTTGCGTTTAATTTGCATATGTGGGGGATTCTTTCGTAATTTTTTATTTACTGAATTGTATCGCTATTTTTGAGTGCCATCTTATTTATTAGTACAAATGTGTATCATCTTACACTGATTAGTACAAAGGTATAAACTTCCTGGAATTTATATCACAAAATTAATTATTAGTCTCAAGAAATAAAAAATGATGTAATTGAGACTTAAATGATTTGATATACATGGAGAATTAATTCTTAATGACAATACCTATAAAACAAACCTGATTATAGAGTAATTGCAGTTTTTTGATTATATATTTTTTTCCATCACTAAAAATTGTCTTTTTATGCTGTGACTAACAAAAGTTTGAAATTATAAACAGACTACTATTACTCCCAATTTCCTCCAACTACAACTACTCATAAAACAAACCCGATTATAGAGCAATTACAATTTTTTGTTTATGCATCTTTTTTTTCCACTACTGAAAATTGTCTTTTTGTGCTATAACTAATAAAAGTTGAAATTATAAACAGACTATTTAGAAATTAGGAATTAGATATTGAAAGTTATGTTTGCAAATTCGAAATAATATTTTTATCTTTGCTGCATAAGTATTACTGATAAACAAAATTTATGATGAATCAAAATCGAATAGCTTTATAATAAATTTAAAGAGCAACCATTTATCTTCTAATTTAAATGAAAATGAAAAATATTACGACTAAAATATAATAACGGAGAGAAAGAGAAAGAGTGAGAGAGAGAGAAAAAAGTACAGTCGCAATACTTTCTCTAGAAGGTTTTCACTAACATCATGAATGCTGAACTATTTTGTGGTTTTTACCACAGAATGCAAATAGACA